GTTCCACTCTTCTCCCAATTTGTCGAAGTAAGCACTGCAAGTTTCTCTGCCACCCAACCATGGCTTGATACCAAACTGAATAAGATCCCCTGAGAGATTCAATAACAGGGTTAGAATAGCAGCTCAAAAGAAGCTTTAAAAGGCAAAAAATCGTAGACATCCAATTCCCGCGCATCCCATATTCCAAAACCCCAAATGCGTACTGACCCACAAAAGAAAATGAAGAACCCACATGAATAAAATCTACAAACAAGAAAATGGAGTTGTACATTACCAAATTCCCTTCAGCGCTGAGGAAGGAACAGTCCCAGTGCGGCCAAACCTCAAGGTAGAAGATGAACCAAGGTTTACGGACCCGGCGATAAATAGATGTTTTAATGGGTCCGGCGAACAGGCCGGCTGGGTGAACGGGTTTGGGGTTGGAAGGGTAAAATAAAATGGGTCGGGCCAGTTTTTCTCCTTTTTTTTTTTCATTTTGTATTTTATCTAATAACCTGATTTTATAATTTGAAATATAATAAACTGTAAAATTAAAATTTTTAAGTAAGGGAGAATATTTAATATCAAAAGGCTCTCTTTAATTCAACAATAATTATTTTCTAGTTTAAAATAATCGTATTACAAAACAGTTTAAGTTACAATGTAAACTCTTAAGTCATATTTAGTTGATAGTAGTGGTTATTTTTTTATTAAAATATAAAAATAAGTTAAAATTAAAGAATTCTCATAAAAAGTTTAAATACATAAAGTCAAATTTTCATAATTATCAAATTTATGGAATTGATTTTTTTATACTAATTCTAGTTATCCACAAGCAACATTAAGTTTCAATTAATTTGAAATTAAATTGCATTAGATTCTAATGTTTGTTTTTTAATTTACAAAATTTGAACTCAATATATTATTAAAAAAAAAACTAAATTTCTTCTATTCAAATTATCAAATCGTTAATAATTTACAGAATTAATACATACACAATCTTATTTTATAATAACACTAACAAGACTTGTATGATATCGCACAAGTCTGTATTAATTCATGTCCCCAAGTTAAAAATTTATTCTTAATTAACTGAATGTTGAGTGCCATGTGCAATCCGCAAGCACACAAGCACTCAAGGCCTTATTGGTCCCTCCATTTTTTTTTATTTTTTATTTTGAAATTCGTTCTAGAGGAAAAATATATTTAAACTAATCATGACTTGAGTGTAGATAGCATTTCTCTTAACATAATATATAATTGATTATAATACATTATTACTATATAAGAATATATATCAATCCTAATATTAAAAAAAATTATTTTGAAAATTAAAATTGATATATATTTTATATATATATGTATATCAATCATTTTTCTTTAAATTTATTTTTAGTTTAATAGTTTGATTGAATGGATTCCTCTAATTAAGTTTCTACCATCATTTAATCATTCCTTTCTAATTAATTTGATTTGTGTGCAACCTTTACCCTAAAATACATGTCACAGAAACGAGGCTTCTTTTGCAAACATGAAAGGCACATGTGATGTAATAACAGTATTAGGTGAACCTGGGGAAGGGGTGATTGAACTGCTCCCATTAATTGCAATCAGCTATCATGTAAAGTTGCAAATACAAAACAACTCTTTGTACTGAAAAAACTCAAGGAAATCTGAGCTACGGACTCGAAACTCAGTTTCTGGTGATTAACGGCTATTGTTAAGGTCATCATCATTTTTATTGGGCCACCAAATCAGCTAAACTTTTATTTTAATTAATTAATTTATTTTTTTTGAATAAGGTATCATAAGGGTTTGAATTCAGCACAAAGAGAAAAAAATTATACCTTAATAAAGTGATAAAAGCCATTCGACCAACAAGTCAGGTGCAAACTTTTATTTTAGTTTAATTCTTAAAAACAATAAATAACAGATGATGAAACAGTTAGCATTTATTATTTAATAAATTAGAATTAATTTATAAATAAATATTTTTCAATATCATAATTAACTATTTACAAAAATTATAAACTAATAAAATTACAGACAATATTGATGGTCTTAACAAATTTGTTGGTGGCCATAACCTTAGCCATGATTAACTTCTCTGTTTTCTTTCTAAATTCCTATACAAATTGCTAATAAGTTTGGGAACCTGAAAATTTTTCAACAACAAGGACCTAGTTGGCGTTAGAAATAGGTTTGGGATTTAATTAAATCCCGAAATAAGATTAGGAACAAATTTCTATATACATTTACCAAAGAGAGCACCCAAGAGAAGAATAGAAGACAAAAATATTTGGCAGCAAAAAGCAGATACTTCCATGCTCTGCTAAGTATATAAATAAATAAATCTATAGTCTGTCAGTAAATCAGACTATGTTAAAGGCCAAAAATGTTTGAAAAAAATTGCTACTGCTGCTGAAGCTTTCTCACTAACCACTTCTTCCTTAGATTAGAATCCAATGCTAGGAACATTCTTGCCCTCCTCTCATCTTCCAAAAAATCACATGCGTCTAGTAATAGATCATCATCCATGCCTGAGATCGCCTGGAGTTCCTTAATCACTCTCTCCATTGATACTATGTTGCTTGCTTTCTTCTTTGTTAGTGATATAACTGCCACTTCCATCTCTTGCATAGCAATAAACAGGCCATCATCTTCTCCTCTAGCCCTTTCAGGCAGCTGCGAAGTTCTTGGCGTCTTGGTGGTGGGCAAATTCTTATCACCACGCAGACCTAGTGCTTCGTCATGTGCCTTATTAACCACATTAGCTTGTCCCTTAATATCCTCCTGGGGGGTTCCATTCTTGGAACTCATCTTGCTATAACTTCTTTTTTTCAAAGAAGCTTCATTGCAACATATGACAGACATGTCATCATAACAAGGGATTGTTTTGTTTTTGAATCTTTGGAATTCAGGATGTTCCTAATGGATAGAATGCTTGTTATTCAACATGTAAAAGAAAAAGAAAAAGAATTGGCAGTGAAAGAAACCAATGTTATGTACCTTTATATATTTATTCCAGACATGATCATCAGCTAAAACCATTTTTTCTGTTCCATCCCAGCGAAACCCCTTCTGGTTAAGAAGAATCTTGATGCTTGTATACTGGCTCCTTAGGACCTTATAACGATTCTTCAAGACACCCCTGCTATGTTGAAATCCAAAGTAAGCATTAAACAATGTGATCATGCGTATCCATGCTTTCTTTGTGAATGTGCATCCAACTTTATTCCCTTTATGCAGCTGGTCTAGCATAAGTTGGAGGAAATATTGATCCATTGACTGTGACCAATCAATTTTTGCATGATCAGTATTGCTTCGAGCCTGATCGTCCATTCCTTTGTCTACAAAATTCAGAATACAATTTAGCAAGCAAAGCATATTCTGGTTGGCATGAGGTAGAAAGCATCAATTGAAATGTAACTAATCAATTTATGTCACCTTCATTCTCAAAATCCACATCAAAACATGAAAGACTGTATCTCCCATCAGCAACATAATGACCACATATTATGCCCCATTGTTCATAATATGGCAAAACTCTTGCTCTGTATGGTAGCATCTTTGGGTGGGCCTGCACATAGGATTCATAAAGATATTCCTAATTGTCATATCTTGCATTGTAAGATTCAAGAAAAAAGTTGGTTTTGATTGGCAAAAGAAATTAATTGAGGAAGTACAAGCGGCACTCTAATGCTTTTAATAAAATTACATCACATGAGACACTTGTAAAAGAAACTCAAAGGGTAGGCTAAAAAGTCTGTACCTTTATATATTCATCCCATGTCTTCTCATCAGCCATTACCATCTGCATTTTTTCATTCCACTTAAACCCATTCTGATCAACTAGAATCTTTATCTTATTGTACTGCTTCCTCATCCATTTGAATCGATTTTTTAGAACATCTACATCATACTTAAATCCAAACTTGGAATTGAATTGTGTTATCATATCTGCCCATGCTTGTTGTTTAAATGCATTACCAATTTTGTTCCCCTTGTGAACATGCTCTATCAAAAGACCAATAAAGAAGTGGTCTTGCGGTGGTGTCCAATTGGCCCTAACAGACTCACTACCACTAGAAGAATCACCATCCATTCTCTTCTTTGCAGACTGAAAAAAACAACAAACAACACAGATGTCACTAACCTTAAGACCTTAATAATTGTCGAGTTATCAATTCTAACAACCATTTTTCTCACTTCTTAAACAAAAATGTAACCTCATCAATCACCCCTTCAAAACAATGCACATCTTCTCCCTCTTCATAACTATTGGCAACAAAACTATAGTCACTACCAATAAATGTCAGCATCAGTGCTCATTGCTAAGCCAACAAACAACATTCACAGCCAAGAGCACCAAAGAAAAGAGAGAAAAAAAAATAAAAAAAAGCCATCCAATTGCAACCTTAACTACTACATAATAAGGTCCAATCCCCCAATCCCCTAACTTATTGTAAACCCATGAGCATATGATTTCTGCTTTCCATGAAACTGCAATAATCGGCAAATGCTGTCATAACGTTCAAATCCTTGCTTTCCATGAAAATTTGGAAAATTTGAGAATGAAACTCGAAGTGATCAAAATCATTATGTTTAAATGCTTTCTAACATAAAAAATACAGAAATTTCCAACACCAGAAACCCAAAATTTGCCTAATTTCACAATAATTTAATCTAACAATGATGAGCCCCTAATGCTCCCTTTCAGAGAAAAAGCCAGAAAAACAACACAAACACAGACTTTTCTTTCTATGATTTTCTCGGCAACCAAACGGACAATTAAGCGAAGCAGAACTTAGAATAAGAAACAGATTAAAAAAATTCAAGCTTTATATAAAGAAATCGAAAAGCAAAAAATGGGAAATCAAGAACAACAAATTAGGGATTGAAGAGTACAGTACCAAATTCTTTGGAATGTGGTGAGGAGCTATGGTGGCGGAATAGGAATAGAGTTATTCAAGGATAGGGAAGAGTAGGCTTCGTTTCCCGAATCTGGATAACGATTATCCGATTAAAACGGTTTTTCTCGTGTGAAAAAATAAAATATTAAAGGATTTTTTTTAAACAACGAGGGTTAAACCAAGTGACAAGTGATTTGTTTCAGTTTAACTAAGATCTTGAATTTGAGATATTGTGTACGCAGCAACTCCCGCTGGAAGACTCACCCACCATTTCTAGTTCCAGGTGTGCGACGCTGGTCGGGTCCGAATTAGTCAGGACGAAGCCCCGATACGCAAAAAATAAAAAAAAAAAAAGGATTTTTTTTAACATAGGGTACATATTAAAAAGTATTTTTTTATAATATATAATATAAAAATTGATTTTTTTTTAATGTTAAACGAATTTAATTA